TTTCCAAAAGCACCGTATGCCTTTGCTACCTGGTTTCTATTTCTCCATCGATCTTACCATCTGAGGAGATGAGGCTACCAAGGTAATTAAACTGTTGGACTGATTTGAGCTCTGATTGGCCAAAGTTGACTGAATATTCTGTTGATATTTTACATATATCTAGGACACACTCATTGATGAAATGTGAAATTCCAACCCAGAAAAATGGCTTTACCTTACCAATGGCTAAAGCATTCCCGAAATATTACAGAAGAAATTCTATTCCAGCTAGTGTTCTTGAAGTTTCCACAGACTCATGCATACTGTGTTTTTTCTATTTAGCATTGACAGGCAATTCTTCAACACTGTTGAAAACTGCTGGAGTTACATACTGTTGTTCAATATACCAGTACAGAGAATTTCCATGTGTTCATTTAAATCAGCAGGACTCTGTTGCTTATCCTCTGGATGAATATTGGAAAACACTGTCAATTGGATATTTCAGAGCTTTCTTATTTTCAGAATTTGTTATAAGATGTCATCATCTTTAGTATGTTATTCTGGAAACTTACTTAGAGGTAATGAGCAGGAAATTTGGCATTACTTTCAACAAAATTCTCCATAATTATTTCTAAACCACAGTACAAAAATATTTTTCCACTCCATGATTTATGCAGCTTGTGCTCTTGTACACTTTCTGATGACTCAATATTTCAACAGGCCCTCATGACATTATTTTCAACTTTCTGTGTGCAGCTGGAGCTGGTGGGCCACATATTCCAGGACTATCTATAGCATCATATGAAGAATTATTAAGTCAAATCATGTGTGATATCAGCATATACAAAATAAGATTTTTAATGTCTATGCCATGTACTATACTTCAGGACTGAAGCAGATTTACTTTTCAGTAACTGAATATGAGCTGTGATTCCTCTTTTGTGTCTTGTACCAATAACAACTACTTATTTGATTTTAATCACAAGTAACTTTTCCTTATTTTCAGTCTTTCAGCTTCTCATTAAGTGTCAATCTGTTTCTCATTGGCCCATAATTTGAAGCCAATAACCCTGTGCTTCTTACAAGTTTGTATAGCACCTCATACAACACCATTCTACTGTTTATTAAGAATTTCTAGCTATTCTGGAATTTGCTTTGCTGGGTGACCAAGTCTAAACATGCCTTAAGTAGCAGAATAGATATTTTCAACTTTCAGAGCTCTTAAAACTTGTGAGTGAGAGATCCTGCTGGAGTACAGGTCCCTGTGAAGAGACAAGACCACCTCAGGAGACCAAGAGATTGTCCAAAGAACATGTTAAGGGCAATGATTTGTAATTAAACACTTAAGAGCAGGATGCTATGTGAGTACAAAAACAGTGGGGGGAAAAAAACAAACAACTATATTTAACAGAATAAGCCTTGCTCTGGTATGTCAACTGTTTGCATATAGACTTAATTGGAACAAAGTAAAGAGAAGACTAAAATTGAATGGTATGTCTCAGAAAGTGTGAAGGGTAAACAATGTGCAGACAGTAGGAACTACATAACTGAAGGGGAATTTGGGAGATATTTCTGAAGTGAAAAAAATCTCACCTAAAAAAACCATCCAGACACATATTGTACTGCACCCTGATAACAAGCAATGAGATGTGGTAGAGACATGAGTGATAGAGTTGTAATTCAGTGGTAGTTGTGTGTAATGAGTAAGACCTAAGAGTAATAAACTCGGATCTTGCTACAGTGTGGGGAATTACAGGATTGCACATTAATAGTAGTGACATCATTATTTGCTATGTCATTTAACTGATTTATTAAATTATTAAAAAATGGTTAACAATAAACATTGTAGCCTCTCATTTCAAGCCTGCAATTGAGAGAAATTAAGACCTTCAGTTAGCTTGATGTCTCACCCTTGCATCCTCTGTAAGACATTTTGGAGTTAGATGTATTAGTCTGCCAAGTCCACAAGGGCTGCATACCTTTGGGGTGAGTTTTACCATTGATTTCACAAACTTGCCTAAGGCAAAATGGCAACATTTTGTTTTAGCTTATGTTGGTGCAAACCATTAAATAGGTCATTATTATTTGAAGAGTATTTTGCTTTATGTGAGTTAAAGCTTTGGTTTAAGTGATCTAAATAATCTACTTTCAGTAGAAAAATATGATAAAAAGTTTAAAGCCAAATCTTAACTGAATCAGTTTCTATTCATATGCTCAGGCAAGCCTATCAGATTTTCTCATGCATGTGTGGTAGTAACACCCACCTTCCCCCCCAGCTGACACGTGGAGATGACCAACCTTTTGTGCCCTCATTTTCACAGACTCCTCCATGGTGGGAATGAGAACAGAATGTCTTGGTCAACAGGGTCCTCAGCCAGTGGGGGCCTTGGCCCAGAAATATTTCTGGCCCATGACCAGGTATGACCAGGGGCCCTGACCTGACCAGGTTACCCGTGGGGGCCCTGCCGGACACCACCTGGGTGTGATTTTCCTTGGAACAGTGGGTCTGTGAGGAGAAGCCCTCCTTTAAGGGCTGGGAAGCCAGCCCAAAAAGACTTAAAAGGGCTGACTGCCTTACCTCTCTCTTCTGGGTGAGTAATTATTTTCCCACTAGATATACCTGAGTGATCCTTCAATCCTTGGATCTTTTGGGTACCGTTTGAGTGAGAAGCTTCATATGCATTGTGTGTGTGTGTGTGTGCACACTTTGTGTAGTAAAATAATCCTGACAGGTACACCAAACCTGTAACCTGACAGAAGCCATTGGAGCACCATCATTACCCACCTTGTTCACTAGTTTCGGCCATTGTACTTAGTTGCGAATTAAAGTTTGACTTTGTTACCTGAGTGAAGTTGTTGTCTTGTACCTCCGTGACAGCATGCGAACAGTTGTCCAAGTCCTTAGCTCTCGTGGACCGCTGTAATTTCGGGTGGGTTTGTGTTGAACACAGCACAATTCCCTCCTTCCCCCTTTAAAAGCCTTTTCTGCGTTAGTCTCACACAGCACCTGCAGGGACTCTGACACAGGCTCATGCCCACACAGTCACAAAGTCACATTCCCACTACATTACCTCTACAGAGAGGGGAGTTGGGGTTTTTTTTTTAAGGTTTTGAATTTTGTTTTTTCTTTTCTTTTTTTTTTTAAAGACCTTTCCCATGGCTGCCCAACCTCAGTGGCTCTTCCTCAGGTGGAAGACCTGTGGGCCACATCCCCTGGTACTGCTTGTCACTTGCCAAGGCTAGACTTCTTTTTTTTGTGAGACAGGCTTGAGCCTTCTGGCTTTCTGCTCCTGCACCAGTCCAGGCCTTGGTACTGCACTTGTCCTGGCACAGACTCAGTCCCTGCCCTTGGGCCAGGCTCAGGTGTGGGGCTCTGCACACCCTGAGGGTCACCTGCAGCACCTGGACAACTCCAGTCCCTAGTTGTTTCCCCCAGGGATCACAGAATCACAGAACATCCTCAGTTGGGACCCACATGGATTATCGAGTCCAAACCTTAGCTCTGGACAGGACCATTCCCAAGAGTCACACCAGGTGCCTGAGAGTATCATCCAAAAGCTTCTTGAACTCTGTCAGCCTTGGTGCTCTGTACAATTACCTGAAGGGAGGGTGTAGCGGGGTGGAGGTCGGTCTCTTCTGCCAGGCAACGAGTGACAGGACGAGAGGAAACGGTCTTAAGCTGTGCCAGGGGATGTTTAGGTTGGACATTAGGACGAACTTCTTACAGAAAAGGTGATTAGGCATTGGAATGGGCTACCCAGGGAAGTGGTGGAGTCACCGTCTCTGGGGGTGCTCAAGGAAAGACTGGACGTGGCACTTAGGGCCATGGTCTAGCTGACATGGTAGCGCTCGGCCACGGGTTGGACTCCACGATCTCAGACGACTTTTCCAACCTAACGGATTCTCTGATCCCGTGACTTCCCTCACGGCACCTCCCGGGGGCGGAGCTGCCGCAGCCCGTCCCGCAGGCGGCGGGCGGTGTCCATGGAAACAGAGCGCACGCCGAGCGCCGCCTCCTTCCCTCCTTCCCTGCTTCCCGCCGGGCCGCCGCCGCCGCTTCCACCGCCACCGCCATTATGATGCTGCTGGGCCGCGGGCTGGACGCCAGGTACGGGGCGGGAGGCCCGAGGGAGCCCAGGGTGTTGCGGGGGAGGAGGCCTGGCCGCGGGCAGGGCACCGGGGGATGGCGCGGCGGTCGGAGGCCGATGCGGGCCCAGTCCCCCTTAGCGCATCTGCCCACCCCGTGCGGTGGGGCCGCCTCTGCCTTTCTCCGGTAAAGGCCGCAAAACTTTTCTAGGCTTAATGTGCTTTGCAGAGATGAAGTAAAGATGTGCCGATATTTATTTGGGCCTCTCGCAGATGATTTTGTGACCAACTCTAAGCGATCATGAATAATGACGGGGGAATAAAAATTTTAACACCTCTATATAAATAAATGCAGTGTTTCATGTCTCCAAATTAAATACTACTTGCATGGGAGTCTTGTGAGATCTGAATTGTAAAGAGGGTGAGGAAACGTGCTTAAGGCTTCCCCTTGGGAGGGGAACGTCCTGACATGAAGACCTTCCAAGAAAATAGAATGTACCTTTAACTGAAGATCTTATCACGTAGTATTAATTTTGAAAACCAACTTTGTTTGTACTTCATGAAATTCTTCCTTTCTCACTCACTGGGTGAAACCTTCACTATTCAAATGGTTCTGTGCTCCAGCATGTTCTGGAGGACTGAATAACTTACTAGGATTTTTTTTTCCTTTAATGAAATCTCTTTTTAACAGTCCCCTAGACTGCTTGCCATGAAGCAATGCAACTGGGATTTTGCCCATAGTGTAACTTTGGCCTGAAATACTTTTCCTGAAGTAAAAGTGTTCCTTGCTTGAATTGACTGCATTATTGTTCATTCTCAAAATACTACATTTCTTCCAGTTTTTCTGATCTTCACGTGTCCCGATAGGAAGTCAGTATTTAAATATTGGTCAGCAATATTGAAGTAGCTTAAGGATATGAAGGAAGTTTTTGTTTCTGCCCCTTGCCAAGACAGTGGTATGAGTGAATTCTCTTGCTGAGAATTCAAGCGCTTCACATGAATAGTCTTGTCTTAGACTGTGGAGACTTCTTAGGACCCAGTATGTGGAAGATACTGTTAGCTAAATTGTCTTGTAGCTGACTCAGTCTGTCAACAAAAACTGGCATGAATTCACACAACCATCAAATGATATAGGAATAGGAAAGCAAAATACAAAGTGAAATACATGAATTATTGGAATTACTTATCTAGATCATTAATAATGAAACACACAGGCATTTGGATCAAATAAATTAATTAGATTTCTGTAATTTAAAAGCAAACAATTTATTAGTGTTGTGAATGTCCTTTCGGTGGTACAGAGTGTTCACCTCTGTACTTGTGTCCATTCACTTTTCTTCTTTAATTCTCAGCAATATTTGTCCTTCGTGCTGCTGACCAGGAGCAGATTGGTACCTGTTCATGATTTAAAAACCATTTAATACCTCTGCTGCCTAATTTCTCCAGATTTGTCCTCTGCTGCCTAATTTCTCCAGCCATTGACTTGCCAGTTTAGCTTGCAGACTCGTGCAGGAAGCAGTGGTCTTGGGAAGGTCTTGATTGAGACTTCAGGTGTTACCACTGTGTTAGTAATAATACCAATAGTAATAGTGAGCTTTTGCTTAAATACAGTAAGAAAACTTCCAAGCAGATTTTTGTGATTTGGGGTTTCCTCTCTTGAATCTTTAAGTGTAAATCCTGCTTTTTTTTGTAGTTAATTTGTTATTTGTTCAGAAATAAGCACATAGTATGTCAGACTGTTACAACATTCTCTTTTTAAAAATAAATTTCTGGTTTGCACTGATTTGTGCCCTTGTTATTTTTTACTTATTTTCCTTTGGTATCCAGGGACAATCAGACTCGACAAATACAAGATGCTGTTTCAAATGTGGAAAAACATTTTGGTGAATTGTGCCAAATATTTGCTGGATATGTACGTAAAACTGCCAGACTACGAGACAAAGCAGATCTTCTAGTAAATGAAATATATGCATATGCAGCCACAGAGACACCAAACTTAAAAGTTGGACTGAAAAACTTTGCAGATGAATTTTCCAGACTTCAGGATTATCGCCAGGCAGAGGTACAAAATTAAAGCTGTACATGTTGTGTTTGCCATCTGAACTTTTCAGTTACTTCTCTTTGATTAAAAGGAGAAATATATACTCTGCAATCACAAGAAAACATAGGAGAAAACATTTCTAAATATATTAGTGTCTGAGCAGGGTAGGCTGCCAAAGTATTCATCATTTACCCCCCTAACAAATAATGAAAACTGCCTGCAATTAGTCCTGTTGAAGTCAGCGAAACTATCCCTACGAGCACTCAAAGTATTTGAGACAGAGCAAGTTTTTTAATGGTCTTAGACTTTGGATTGTGATTTATGGTTAATAAAGTGTTCTTTTTATTTGTGTGACTCGAGTTGTCTGGCAGCAGCTGAGGTAAAATCAGTCATTTTCCTTTTGTTGAGTCTTATCAGAAATAGTATGGAAGAGAATGGGCACTGGTAGCCACACTGAGATGCTGTCAGGGACCACTGCAGATTTCTTAAGTTTGTAGTTTAACACTCAAAGTACAAACTTGATTTGGACAATGTGTGACTATATAGTCACATGTCTGCTAGATGAGTGAGAGTGTAAAGGAAGGTGTTTATGCCACTTACACATCTATCTGCAGGGTCAGTCAAACTGTAACGTGTGATGCAGAATTCCAAATACTGTGATTTAAGACAAAATAAATTCATTCACATGGACTCAAACTAGTTTTTGGAGTATGTATCTATACTTTCAGTAGAGTGTAGAAAATTACCATTTATAGTTTTGAACAGCTAAGACCCACTAGAATTCAAAAAAGAGACGGAAGTAACATGCACTTCATTCAGAGCCTTACTGCCCTAATCCTTTGTATTTTATTGGCAGTTCAAGTGAAATTGTTTGACAGTGTACTGGTAGAGTGTATAAAGGAAAAACGTTTGCTCAGTTGACATAAATTTTAGCCCAGTTTAGAGGGACCTGTACGTTCCTAATAGAGGTATGCACCTTGTCCTAATCTGGCCCATCTGGCCGAGCAGTGGGCCAGATGACTCACTGGTCCATAAGTCATTGGCAGCTTATGCTGGTGCTGCTTGGACAGCGTTCTCAGGTTTGATGAGCAGGTCTTATCCTATTGCCTGTCTGACCATATGTAGCTGTTTTTCTAAGTAGGAGAACTGAAACAAAATTTCAGATGCACTCACCTGTGAAAGCATTCGTGCCTTTTACACACCCTGTTATTGGTATTTTTAGTGCATTCAGTACCAACAATGCAAGAAGTGTTACATTTTGTACAATATATTTGTTAGCAAAGATGGCTTAATCCATGATCCATCAGTAAGTGTAGAGCAAAACATTGATCTTAGATAGAAAGTTACACATCTCCAAGATGCAGTGTTTGATGTATTTAGTACTCAGTTGTTAGAATCTCAGTGTTTCATTTATCCTGATGTATTTCTAATTAAGAAAAAAGTAATTCCACTAGAAATCAGCTTGATCTCCTCAAAATACAAATTGCTTATTGCCTAATGTACTTGACTATAGTTTTTACAATATTTTTAAAACTATCCCATTATTTTTTCAGCATATATGGACTAATTCCTAATAAGATGAGTCACTATTAATTGTTTCCTGTTTCTGCACACCATAGATATGGATGATTCTAGTGGCCTTGTGATTTCTTTTGTAGGTCGACAGGCTTGAAGCCAAGGTTGTTGAACCTCTGAAATGTTACGGGACCATAGTGAAACTTAAAAGGGTAGGTTAAGCATCTGTTTTCTCACAAGGTACATTTCAGTGTTCTGGCCGCTCAGTTGAAAACTTCTGCTTTAGGGGGCGAATGGTTCTGATATTTCATATTGCAATAATCAGTCTAACTTAATTATGTAGTGGTACATCTAAATTGAAGCTATATATACGTTGGAGAAAGAAGCTTTAGTGTGAAGACAAGGATATTCAGGCTCTTTGAGCACAAGCAAATGCTAAAAAAAAGGCATTGTGGATAATGTGAAACTTATTGGATAGTGTCATTCATTATTGTTAGGGTTTTTTTATTATTATGATTATGATTATTACCACTA